AGTTCATCTGCCAGCAACGTCAGGAAGTTTTTCTAGTGATTCCAGCCCTCCGCCGATCAGTGAGGCCCTACGAGCTGGCCTTTAAAGTGGGGCCACACCAGTCGCTCGATGTATTCAAGCCACCTGTGATTAGTTTTGTTCTTTGACTGATCTTTATGTATTTTTGCGAAGAGATTCTCGCGAGTCTCTTTACTTGTTTTAGACCACAACTTAAGAATTACAATTTACATTGTAAGCAGGATATTGTATTGTAGTGACCATTAATCATTAAATCGTGACTTCAAAAACAGATGCACTACTGGCTGATTGCATCATGACGGAGGGCGTTACTGCACCCTAAATTTCATGGGAAAAGTGTGTCGGATCGGGAAAATGTACGGGAAATCGACATCTCACCGGTTACAAACTTTCCTAGCTTTTCATCCTTTCCATCTGTACAAATTATTTTGATATCGGTAGAAACGATGGATTGTTAAAATGGACTGTCATAGGCAAATGGAGCGACTGTGATAGGCCACCGTATTTTATTTACTTTGAATCCTCCAGAAGTGAATGTAGCAGAAAATTATATCATCGCAGCAGCTTGTGTCAGACCAGCCGATTATGCCTGTTCGCATGTATATGATAGTTTTTTGCACGTTTATTAAGCTACGTACATCGTAACTTTTCATCGGATTTCAGAAAATATATGTTGAACTGCTGTCTAAACCTAGATTCAGTAACGACAAAAGTCTTCGAAAAATTCTGGCTTAGCTTATTATCCTTACCAGTGTCAGAAATATTCCCAAAGATATTCTGTCTTTAGCCATATGGTTTTCACTTAAGAGGCCGTCGAATCACCGGATTAGATGAGAAAACGAAATAACGTGACACTTCATATCACCGTACACGTTACCTTTTAAACTGTTGCGACACAAATGTATTGTTGTTGTCGTTTTTCTTTTGATGCGAAGTAACAAGCCGTCAGTGGCTTCTCGTTCTCAGTCTCAATTCCTGCTGATCTGTGCAGCCTTAAAGACGTCGGGTGTCGGCAAGGCCGCAGCACAGGGGAATAATTTTGTCTAGTCTTAGTAATGGCGCCGTTCAAGCCATGCCTTTTGCTTCACAGTAGTGATTGCTTTTCAGTAGCAGAGAATTTATGGGATTAAACTGACCTCGCATTACGCCGAAGATGCTTCTTTGCGACTGTAGTAGACCACTGACAGTATTAATGCTTGAAAGGCATTCGGCATTAAAAGGCAAGTGCGGAACGGCTCCTTTCGCATGCAAACGAAGATCTTGTAGAAAGGCGCATCTGAAGCAGTTGTTAAGGCGTTTCAGCATGCAGCAGTTTCACACGACCGTTTGACGTGTTTCCGTCAACTGTGTCGTCTATTGGTTAGCGCTAGTTCAGTCAGTCAGAATCACTTATTTTGTAGATCGCTTAACAAATCCGCTGGTCTATTTGGTTCATAGTTGACTTCACGATTCTAAGGAACTTTAATTTAAAACTTACAGATTCAGTGGTCCTAGGGACAAAAAATGTATTATTTGAGATAACGTTTGGGTCAGGCGCGCTTTTGTATACTGTAAGCCTTGATGATGACGTCGTCGTTACTCGAAATTTTGGTTGCGGAATAACTTCCCTCGACTTTCTCGGTGTCTATGACTATTCAGTTAGACCCCTCTTCTATTATCTAGTGGCACTAATGCTATCAGAATGCTGAAGACAGAAGCCTTCTAATTCCGGGGCTGTTGTTAAAAATAGTCAACAGATTACATTAAAGAGTTTTCCTTTTGAACAAAAACCACATTATTCAGAACAGGAAAAAAAGAAAACAGTTAGAAGAGCAACAAGAAGGATAGATTTATTCGCTTGGGTAGCACAGTTATCGACTAATGTCTTATGCACGTTTGTTAACCATTTCTTTGTAATTTTGTCACCAGCCAGGGCCTGCTTTCTATAAAGGAAAATTATTAAGTCACAGTC